CTAACGCTGACTAATGGCAAAGATGGAGCTGGGGACGATATGGTAGCTACTGGAGTTGAAGTTGTGGTGCAAGATGATGACATAGTTAATCCATGGAGTGTAACCAGTTCGACTGATGCTGGTGTCGATTATGATAAACTTATAAGTAATTATTTTTTAATGCAAATTTGCAAATATTACTAATATTTTTTTTTTTTTTTGCATGTATAGAGCGATTTGGGTCTAGCAAAATCGACGAAGAATTGATTGCACGTTTCGAAAAGATAACAGGCAAGCCAGCACATCATTTTATCAAGCGTGGCATTTTTTTTTCGCATAGAGATTTGCACACAATTCTAACACTTAAAGAACAGGGCAAACCTTTTTATATGTATACGGGACGAGGACCAAGTTCTGAATCACTACATTTAGGTCATTTGATACCATTTATTATGAGCAAGTAAGTTAAGTTAGTTTGAAAATTATGAAATTGATATATATGGGTTCTCTTTATATCTACCATTCATAGATGGTTGCAAGAAACATTCGATGTTCCTTTAGTTATTCAATTAACTGATGACGAAAAGACTTTGTGGAAAGATCTGAAAGTGGAGGCCGCTATAAAATTATCGCGCGAAAACGCTAAAGATATTATTGCTATGGGTTTTGATCTTGATAAAACCTTTATATTCAATAATTTAAATTTCATGGGGTGAGTTATCTTAATATTTAATAATTACTTTAATTTTTTGTGAGTATTTTATGTATAATAAGTTTCTGAACAATGCCTCTTCTACAATTATTATTAATATTGTGAAGTATGTAATCATATACTGACCACACACACCAAACTCATATAAGAATTGTCGGGTTTACGTCCCGGAACCACTCGTTCGACGATTGCGTCGTTCAGGACACCCAAACGAACAGATCCTTGCAGGCTACAAGAACAATAACATCAGAATTGTTGTATTTTGTAAAATACTTTACAATATAAGTAGGATTAAGTTCTGTTATGAAGAGGGAGTATATATAGCATGTATATTCAGGAACTGTAGGTAAATATCAAAATTATTTTTACTTTAATATATGTCTGACAATTTGAGGTCTCTTATAAGTAAGAAACGTTATCCAAATATCAATAATTTAGCAAGTAGTTGCAAAACTAAGAAAAATCTGATTTGTGTAGAATCTGATTTGTGTAGATATATACTGCTTCAGAGTGCCTAAATACTATTGTTATAATCTAATTATAACATGAAATCTTTAAGTGTTTTATTATGCAATTTTTTAATGTTTTTTTATTTATTACACATTTTTATGACTCATTGTGAAATGTCACAGTAATTTTAATATTTTGCATGATGAAATACGTAAATGCTTAAGTTCATAAGCAGTATGTTTAAAAGCTAAAATTAAGATGAGAACAATTGATGTGATCTAAATGAGGTATTAGGATATTTTGTTTTACTAAGTAAGCTTCTTTATTAATTGAATATAAGTCCTTAGAAAGTATAAAACAAATTTTCTTGTGTGTATGTTAATGATGTCATCTGGCAATTTTTTATAGTAGAATAGATATTTTTATAGTAGACTAGCTGACCCGGCGAACGTTGTTTCCCCTTGCAATTAATTTTCCTGGCT